GTGAGAGTGGACATCCCTGTCGTGTTCCTAATCTCAGGGGGAAAGCTCTCAGGTTTTCCCCGTTGAGGATGATGTTAGCTGAGGGCTTCTCATATATGGCTTTTATAATGTTTAAGTAAGTTCCTTCCATCCCAACTTTCTTAAGGGTTATTAAGAAGGGATGCTGTATATTGTCAAATGCTTTTTCTGCATCTATCAACAGGATCATATGGTTTTTATCTTTTATTTTGTTGATATGATGTATCACATTGATTAATTTGCAAATATTGAACCAGCTCTGTAACCGAGGAATGAATCCCACTTGATCTTGGTGGATAATTCTTTTTATGTGCTGTTGGATTCAACTTGCAAGTATCTTGTTGAGGAATTGGCATCTGTATTCATCAAGGATATTAGCCTGTAGTTCTCTTTTTTTGCTGGGTATTTGTCTGGCTTGGGAATCAAAGAGATGCTGACTTTATAAAATGAAAGTTTTCCTTTGATTTCTATTTTTTGGAATAGCTTGAGAAGAATGGGTATTAATTCTCTTTTAAATGTCTGGTGGAATTCCCTAGGGAAGCCATCTGGCTCACGGCTCTTATTTGTTGGGAGGTTTTTGATAACTGATTCAATTTCCTCACTAGTTGGGTCTGTTCAGATTTTCTAGCTCTTCCTGTGTGAATTTTGGTAGTGAGTGTGTGTTTAGGAATTTGTCCATTTCTTCTAAGTTGTCCAATTTGTTGGCATATAATTTTTCATAGTATTCCCTGATAATTGCTTGTATTTCTGAGGGATTGGAAAATAAGTCCATTTTCATTCTTGATTTTTTGTTTACACCTACCTTTAGTGGGGTGTTTATTTGGGTGCTCTCTCTTTTCTTTTTGAGAAGCCTGGCTAGAGGTTTGTCAATTTTATTTATTTTTTCAAAAAACCAACTCTTGATTTCATTGATCTGTTCAACTGTTTCTTTGGTTTCTATATTGTTTATTTCTGCTCTGATTTTTATTGTTTCTCTTCTCCTACTGGGTTTGGGTGCTCTTGTTGCTCTCCCTCTAGTTCCTTTAGGTGAGCTGTTAGATTTTGCACTTGCGCTTTTTCTAATTTCTTGAAATAGGCCTGGAGTGCAATGTACTTTCCTCTTAGGACTGCCTTTGCCGCATCCCATAGAGTTTGGATTGTTGTATTTTCATTTTCATTTGTTTCCATATATTTTTTAATTTCTTCTCTAAGTGACTGATTGGCCCATTCGTTCTTTAGTAGGGTGTTCTTTAACCTCTATGTTTTTGGAGGTTTTTCAGACTTTTTCCTGTGATTGATTTCAAGTTTCATAGCATTGTGATCTGAAAGTGCACATGGTATGACCTCAATTCTGTTATATTTATTGAGGGCTGCTTTATGACCCAGTATGTAATCTGTCTTGGAGAATGTACCACATGCACTCGAGAAGAAAGTGAATTCCATGGCCTCAGGATGTAGAGTTCTAAATATATCTGTCAAATTCATCTTGTCCTATATGTCATTCAGGTCACTGTTTCTTTACTGATTTTTCTGTCTAGTTGATCTATCCATTGCTGTAAGTGGAGTATTAAAGTTCCCTGCTATTAGCACATTCTTATTCATAAGATTGTTTCTTATTTCTGTTTGTGATTAATTGATTTATATATTTAGTTGCTTCCATATTTGGTGCATAGACATTTATAATTGTTAGTTCTTCCTGATGGATAGACCCTGTAATTATTATGTAATGCCCTTCTTCATCTCTTGTTATTGTCTTTAATTTAAAGTCCAGTTTGTCTGATAGAAGTATAGCTACTCCAGCTTTCTTTTGACTTCCAGTAGCATGACATATATTTCTCCATCCCCTTACTTTTAATCTGAAGGTGTCTTCCAGTCTAAAATGCGTTTCTTGTAGACAGCAAATAGATGGATTTTTAAAAATCCATTCTGCTACCCTATGTCTTTGATTGGAGCATTCAACCCATTTACATTCAGTGTTATTATTGAAATATATGGGTTTAGAGTCATTGCGTCGTTTGTGGGATTCATGCTTGTGGTGGTGTCTCTCGTATCTTGTGTCCCTTGGAACATTTCCCTCAGAGTGTCCCCCTCAGAGTTTCTTGTAGGGCTGGCTTAGTGGTGACAAATTCTTTCAATTTCTGTTTATTTGGAAAGGTTTTTATCTCTCCTTCTATTCTGAATGACAGGCTTGCTGGATAGAGGATTCTTGGCTGCATATTTTTTCTGTTCGTCACATTGAAGATTTCCTGCCATTCCTTTCTGGCCTGCCAAGTTTCATTAGATAGGTCTGTCACCACTCTGATAGGTTTCCCTTTGTATGTTAGGACCCTTTTCTCCCTAGCTGCTTTCAAAATTCCCTCTTTGTCCTTATATTTTGCCAGTTTCACTATGATATGTCGTGCAGAAGATCGATTCAAGTTACATCTGAGGGGAGTTCTCTGTGGCTCTTGAATTTCAACATCTACTTCCCTCCCCATGTTGGGGAAGTTCTCTGCTTCAGCACCTTTCCCCCTCTCTTCCTCTTCTGGGATTCCTATGATATGGATATTGTTCCATTTGATTGTATTGCTGAGCTCTAGAACTCTTCTTTCATGTTCCTGGATCAATTTATCTCTCTTTTTCTCATCTTCCTCTTTTTCTATAATTGTGTCTTCTAAATCACATATGCTCCTTTCTGCCTCTTCAATCCGTGCATTGGATGCCTCCATTTTATTATGTATCTCATTTATAGCATTTTTTGATTCATCATAACTATTTTTGAGCTTCATAGTCTTTGCAGCAATAGTTTCTCTGATGTCCTCCATGTTTTTTTCAAGCCCAGCAATTAATTTTATGACTATTGTTCTAAATTCTTGTTCAGTTATGCTGCTTATATCTGTTTTGAGCAGTTCTCTAGCTGTCATTTCTTCCTGTAGTTTCTTTGGAGGAGAGTTCTTTCATTTCATCATTTTGGTTAGTTTTCTATCTCTTGTTAATTTTAAAAGCTTTTGTACACTCTGCTCCTGGAAGTTCTGCTATATTAGAGAGGGCTCTTTGACTGTTCAGGGCCTGTCCATTCAGGAAGTGTTCTTTGAATGATGTCTCTTGGTTTCTCTGATTGAGAGTTTGGTTATTTTGTTTCCCTACTCGTAGAGGTATTTGGGACTCTCCACCATGTGTACTTTGGCTTGTTTCTTGAGGTAGCCCTGGAAAAATAAAACAATCACACAGGGAACAAAGGTACACAAACACACAGACAAAACCAATAAACACGCAAACCTAGGCTCAATTAAAAGCAACAACAACAACAACAACACAGCTCTCTGGAGGGGATGGGCGTGGTTTGATGTAGGCAGGTCTCGCCTCCACTGCGTCCTGATGGCCACTCCCTGAGGCCCAACTTGGTGGTTGTGGGGTGAAGAATGGTGGTGCCCCAGTCCCTTCTCAACCAAGTATTGCAAATCACTCCTTTGAGTCCGATCTCCCTGTGCTGAGGATGTAGCCAAGGTGGGCTGAGTTCTATGTCCCACACTCTGCCTCCTTTCCAGGTCCCAGTCTGTGGGCCTTGTTTATACTCCCCTTCCCCCCCAAACAATCTGGCAGGTCGCTGCTTCCCTGCTGCTGGGGGTTGAGTTGGGGGTGGGGGAAGTGTCGCAGCCTCAGATCCATCGGGGTCAAGCAGCGATACAACCTGGGATCTGAGGCCTCTGTGCCCCGCATGCACATGGGGGACACAGCAGCCTTGCCCCTCCTCGTTCCTGGGTGTCAAATCCGGGAACACAGCCTCAGGCCCGCAGCATCCCTGCTGTCCTTGCCGCAGCTGCGCTGCTGTAGGGGATGGTGCTGGGAGTGCTGCAGAGCAGTTTTTTCGGGCACCTTACGGGACTGGGGCACCTAGTTCAAAGTCAGCACCCCAGCCAGAACTAAAAATCACTCTCTTTCGAAGACGAGGTTTTTCCTCTTTCCAGGGACGGTTCTATGAGCAATCTCGGCTTCTCTTTCCTTTCCCCTCGACTTGCAGAGGTGGCTCACCGGGGCTCGCTGTGGCTCATCACTCACCGCAGCTGCACGCAAGCCGGGTTCCCTCCCCTCCCTCCATATCTCGGTCCCTGCCACTTGAATCTTCCCCAGTTCGCACTCAGGCACTTATGAGGTTTCCTTCCCTCATAAGACTTATGAGGTCTTCTGTCTCTTTCTCTTCCCAAACTCCTGTGGCTCAGTGTCCTATGGCTTCAGGCCTTCTCTGTTTGAGAGATGGGTGCAGGTGAAATGCATGGAGCTCCCTACTTCTCCACCATCTTGCCCCAATTCCCAGTAATACGGGCTTCTTATTACACTTCAAATTCATTATTGTTAACTTTCTAATACGTGTAATTGATATAATTGGGTAGGAACTCAGTTATCTTGTCAGAAGACTTATAAGGTTCTTCTTTACTCCCAGGTCCTTTTCTTTAACCCCAAGGGCAACAGTAAGGTCTATCAGGGCTGGGACAGGGGTGAGGCAAGTGAGGTGCCTAGGGCACAGCATTTAAGGAAGCATTCACCTCAGTGCCATAGAAGTTCAGAGTGGCACCTGAGAATGAGGGCCTCCTGAAGTGCTGTGCTCTTGGCACCTCAATTGCCTCACCCTTGTCTGGCCTGATGCCTACAGAGAGCACTTTGATTTATTAACCAGGTAGCTGTATCATCAAGAGCAGGACTCGTTCCCCACTGTTTAGCCATGCCTGAGCAATAGAAAGCTGCTCTCAGAGAAAGCAAATGGCATGGAGAGAAGCCATTTTCTGAGAAGCTCTGCCAATTTAGAACTTAAAACCAGTAGGAAAATGGTGACGAACATTATGGAGGTTTGCTTTATGATCAACTCAACAAGCTACTGACATTCCATTTGTTGAGGGAGACCTGATCTAGTGATCATATCCATAGCATTTATATTGTGTTTGCAAGTTTTCAGATACAGCATTTAAAAAATGCTTATTCTTTACTATCCTCTGTGCCTTCTTTTTTCATGTTACAAAAATTAACAGAACAAATAATGGCTGCAGTGTGAATGCTCTGGACCATGAGGTAAGTGCTCCTTTTTAAGGTTGGGTTAACAAATTTCATTTTCAAAACGAGCCCAAATTGACTGAGTGATTCTAAATTAGCTCTTTAGTTTTTGCCCTTACCCACTGATAATGCCACTATTAATTTCAATTACTTAGAGGCAACATTAATACATGTGAAACAAGAACAGCGATAAAGACAGAAAGGAATAAATTACTTGTTGCAAGACAGAATGACATTTTGACTGGCACAGAGATTTTATTCTTTCATACACTTTGTGCTTTGACATTTCATTTGGCACAAACATTTCACAAATTCTTGACCTAATCTGATGTACTGTTGTTTAGCAATTGCTGACATGACATGTTTTAACCTCAAGCTCACTGGATTCCAAATGTTACCTTTTCCTGTCAATCAGCGTTGGATGACCTCCAAAAATCAGCCCAGGCAAAAGTCTCTGTACCTAGGGGGTCAAGGATACTTACCCAGAAGGGAGAAGTAGTAGATGGGGGAGAAACAGGAGAGGAGGTAAAATTCAAGGCTATTGCTGAGTGGAAAGAGGGCAGAAGACAGATCCCCAAAGAAGCCCTGCATCTTGAGAGAGACAACATCCTCAAACACAAAATATCTAGGAATAAACTTAGCAAGACATAGGTGGGGAAAATATGACAAAAATGTAAAACTTAGAGATAGAAGAGATTTAAATAATTGAGAAATACATTAATCTTCCTAAAATGGAAGTCTGTATTATATAAAAATGTCATTTCTTCTCAAATTACTTTTTGGGTGTCAGCTGACTTACTGTCTGTGGGTATTGGGAAGAGGTCATGTTCATATTAATGCCCAGATTTTGCTAGCTCATTTGCTTCTCTTGACATCTGCCTCTCAGGTCTTTATTTAAGAACAAGCCAACTCACAATGTTCTGCTCTGCTCTCCTTTTTTTTAGGGCTGGAACAGAAATCCTGTCAGTTTCAAGTCATAGAACAATGCCACCACCGGTGATTTAAATAATAAAGACACTTTATTGTTTTCATCATCTTTGCAGTGGTTGGTAGTTCTAGGAGTGATGGCTTTCTCAAAATCATCAAGGACCTAGGCTTTGTGTTTCTACTTTTGCTAACCTGGGAAAAGTTCTCTTGTTCTTAGATTGTTGCCTTGTGGATGCAAGTTAGAAGAACCATAGTTACAAGCATAATGTCTACACATAACCACGTTCAAGGGCAGGGATGAAAGGGACTTCTTTTCAGGAGATGGTGTATTTTTTTTTTTTTTAATCAGGCCAGACAAATCTTTCTAGAACCACTTCCAACAGACTTCTCCTTCTATCTGCTTGCCCAAAGGTGGACTATATTGCCCACCTCTAGACCAATCAGGCCAAGGTGGACTTCAATTGCATTATGGGTTTTGATCAAACATGATTCATCCATGGCTGGGACCATGGCTGCCAGAACAAAACTGTGCTTCCATTAGCAATGAAGAAGGGGAAATGGGTGTTGGTTAGGTGGCCAGCAGAATTTGCCCAAAGGTATCATATCCACAGACATTTGAGAGAGGCCTCTTACAAGACCACCACTCTGCTGGCTGCCCTGGACTTTTTTGAACTCTAAGTCACAGATACTCTCCTGAGTGGATGTTCCTACTCCTCAGAGTATTAAAGCTGTTTGACTGCCTATAACAATAAGAGGCAGAGTGGCCTTCTCAGCAGTGGGCACCAAGTTGCCTGCATCCCACAGCAACAGTCCTTGTGTCCGATCTTGCACAGGTGCTCATGGAAATAGCTCCTGCAGCTTCTCTTCCATGGTGACTTTGTGGCAGACCCTGTAGGTGAGTCACTCAACATCCATTCTCATCCTCCTCTCTCCCACCTCTATTCTAGAAGCTGAAGGCTAACCATCTTTTGTAGCCTCCTTTAACAAGAAGGGTTGTCATTTCTGTGACAGTTTTGGGTTCTGCTACATGAGCAGAAATTGCTAGGGGTTCTTGGAAAAACCTTTGCTTTCTTGATAAAAGGTCTTGGCTTCAGCTTGGATCTCAGTGCTACTTAAATTTAACATGATCCTGGTCAAAGTATTAATGGGATTATTAGAGAAGATGATAACAAAATTATTCCAGAGTTTACTTGGAAGAATACAGAAATGAGAGTAGCCAGAATATTGGCTTTACTAAGGCAGGGATTATATAAAAGCAATTTCCTTTCTGTTCCTTCCAATGTTTTTATGCATTGAAAAGGCTTCCTAATTATGAAATCCATTAAATATTTATCTTTTCCTGGTTTCATTTTTTTATATTAAAAAAACTATGTAACAGAAATCACCATATACAAACTTATGGGGTGAACAATAAACTGGAAGAGGTCTCTCTGTTTCATCTGGTGACACAGGAACATGGTGTCAGAGAGTAGGGGCAAAATCAATGTTCCTGGAATATGGAGTCTCCTTATGCCACAAGCTGGTGATATTATCATTCCCATTTATCACCATCATAATCATCATCATCATCTCCATTTTGTCAATTAGTAAATTAGGAAGTTCTGGGTGCCCAAAATCAAATGGGATGAACAGAAGTCCAAATCCAGATATTATGATAAAAAGCCACGTTTATGCTCTTTCTCCCATACCCCACTGTTGATGAAATGTTAACCCAGAAGGGTTAACTTTCTAAATGAATTAGACATAATCAGAGGAGTGGGGCAGGTAATGGTGATTTGAAAGATATGGAGAGCAGGAGGGATATATATTAATGTGTATATGTGTGTGTATATATAAGTGTGTGTGTGTGTATTATATATATAAGATGGAAATGATACTTATTTACACACAATGTTCAAAATTGGGCCCAAGATCACTGGAAAGTATGAAGGATGGACTCCAAATCCATATTACCTGGACTCAATTCCTGGTTACACACAGTCAAGGCAGTGAATGGTGGAAGTGCACAGACCTTTTACTTTAGACAGATCTTTGTTGATCTCCTTTCATCACTTACTAACCATGTGTCAAAACGAGAATAAAACTGAATTATTTAAAAAAAAATTTTTTTTTCTAGTTTATTTATTTTTGAGACAGAGAGAGACAGAGCATGAGCAAGAGGGGCAGAGAGAGAGGGAAACAAAATCTGAAGCAGGCTCCAGGCTCTGAGCTGTCAGCACAGAGCCTGACATGGGGCTCAAACTCATGAACCGCGAGATCACGGCCTGACCCGAAGCCGGACGCTCAACTGACTGAGCCACCCAGGCACCCCTGACTGAATTCTTAAGTAATCCAACCACAGGCTCCAGAAGATTGCGATATTTTCTTCTCCAAGGATACTGAGTTGGGGCTCTTGCTCTGTCTTTGGCTTCCTGCTAGAATGCACTTCCAGACCCAACGGTATAGTCCCAGAGCTACATTAAAAAAATTTTTTTTAATGTTAATTTTATTTTTGAGATAGAGAGACAGAGCTTGAGCAAGGGAGGGGCAGAGAGAGAGAGGGAATCACAGAATCCAAAGCAGGCTCTAGATTCTGAGCTGTCAGCACAGAGCCTGACGCAGGGCTTAAACTAAACTCATGGACTGTGAGATCATGACCTGAGGTGAAGTTGGCCACCCAACAGATTGAGCCACGCAGGCAGCCCTCAGAGCTACATTTAAAGATGTAAGTGTAGCAGTGAAATTTGTTCCCCACAGGCTCCAGTAAGCACAATTTTGTTCAGGTTGCAAAGTAACAACCCAAATTCCATGCATTAAATACTCCACACTTTTTCCTGGCTTCACATTGCATAAAGATGGCATGATTGCACCAGAGCCATCCAGAGAATAGTATTTTTTTGTAGGTGCATTATATTTAAACAGAAGTGTGTATTGACAAAGGTAAAACTCAATTAAATAAAAACGATTATGCTCACCATGGGTAATTTCTATCATTACTATTCATATGGCTGAATAATAAAATCCACAATGGAATAGTTCCATTTAAAACTAATGTTGCTCAATTTATGGCCAGCTTTTCAAAATCTTAACTTCAATCACTTTCTTACTCAACACAATTATAGCCATAAATAATTTGAATTGATTAAATTTGAAAATGAAAAATCCAATTTATGAAAGGTTACAAAGCACAGTAAAATGTAGCAAATTTCTATTTCTAAGTATCTATCAGATAGCATATGAAAATTGGCTTACATTGTTTGTAAAGAAGTTATTTTTTCCAGTTTTATTGAAAAATAATTGACATATATCACTGTATAAGTTTAAGTCATACAATGTGATGGCTTGATTTACATATATTGTGAAACGGTTACCACAATAAGTAGAGTTAACATCCATCTTCTCATATAGATACAATAAGAAGAAAGAAAGAAAGAAAGAAAGAAAGAAAGAAAGAAAGAAAGAAAGAAAGAAAGAAAGATTCTCCTTGTGATGAGAACTCTTAGGATTTACTCTTTTAACTTTCCCATACATCCTACAGCAGTGTTACCTATAGTCATTATGTTATACATTTTACAACCCTAGTAATTATTTATTTTATAACTGGAAGTTTGTATCTGTTGATCACATGCTTCCATTTTCCCCTCCACCCATTGTCAGCCTCTGGTAACCACAAGTCTAATCTCTTTTTCTATGAATTTGTTTTGTTTTGTTTTTAGATTCCACATATAAGTAAAATCATACGGTGTTTGCTTTTCTCTGTCTAACTTATTTTACTTTGCATAATGCCCTCAAGTTTCATCCATGTTGTTACAAATGGTAGGATTTCCTTGTTTTTCTTTTTTGTGGCTGAATAATATTCCATTGTATGTATATATACCACCATTTCTTTATCCATTCATTCAGGAATGGACGCTTAGAATGTTTCCATGGCTTGGCTATTGTGGATAATGCTGCAGTGAACATGAGGGTGCATATATTTTTCAAATCAGTGTTTTCATTTTATTTGGCTATATTCTCAGAAATACATTCTCAGAAATGAAATTACTAGATCATATGGAAGTTTTATTTTTAATTCTTTGGGCATCCTCCCTACCGTTTGCAAAGTGGCTGTCTCAGTTTACACTCCTACCGACTGTCCACAAGGGTTCCATTTTCTCCAAATCCACACCAGCATTTGTTATCTTTGTCTTTTTAATGATGGCCATTCTAACAGGTGTGAGGTGATATCTCATTGTGGTTTTAATTTGTATTTCCCCAGTGACTAGTGATATTGAGCATCTTTTCATGTACTTGTTGACCTTTTATAGATCTTTGTAGGAATATCTATTAAGTCCACAAAGAAATTCTTAGTACAAGTAATAAGAGAATAAAATGCCAGCTTATCAAACTGGTCAATGACAGAACTGAAGATGATCACAATAATTATTTTCATAAGTTAAAATGAGTGATGTAAGCATTTATATTATTTATCCTTTTCTGATATTTAATAATGAGCAAGAAAACTGAATTAAAAATGGCATTCTTGGGGCGCCCGGGTGGCTTAGTCAGTTAAGCATCCGACTTTCGCTTAGGTCATGATCTCGCGGTTCGTGGGTTCGAGCCCCGTGTCGGGCTCTGTGCTGACTCCAGCTCAGAGCCTGGAGCCTGTTTCAGTCTGTGACTCCCTCTCTCTCTGACCCTCCCCTGCTCACGCCGTCTCTCTCTCTCTCTCCTAGAAATAATAAAAAAACATTAAAAAAAAAATAAAAATGGCATTCTTTTTCTAGTTTAGTATATTTGCTCATTATTTTACAATAGTTCTGAGCTACTGCTTTGATGTCTTTAAAAGCTATAATTTTGCTACAAACCTTGAAGTTAATTTAGAAACAAGTTGATGTCCAGTTTTTCAATGCACAAATAGAGAAATAAGAAGGTGAAGTAATCAAAATGTCTTGGTATAAACATATTTAAGGAATGTGGAAAAAACATTCATTTCAGATGGTTCTTAAACATTTATAATACCATATTTATATAAGAGAAACACATATCAAGGCAGTTCCTAGTACACAGTAGGTGTTTAGAAAATATTTGTTGTATATGTGA